GCTAGGCAGTTTATCCATAGCTGGAGAAGGGAGATTTTGGTCATTACGCTTCATCAGAACCTCCACTATTATAAGATGCACATACTTAATTTAAATGGACTTCCTTAAATGGACTGAGGCAATTAAACTATGCCACACTATCAATTGTAAAATGCACTTCAGTTTTAGAGATGCTAAATGTGTTTAATACTTAACACTAGGAGGTAGGTTCTATCACTATCCTCATTTTATAGATGAGAAAACTGAGGCTTAGAGAGGGTTGACAATTTGTCCAAGATCACATGGCCGGTAAGAGGAGTTGGCATTTGAACCCAGACAGTCTGACTTCAGAGTTCAAACTCATAACCACTATGTTCTTCTCCTTATCAAGATGGAAAGCTGGAAAAGGTTTCAGAAAAATTATTTTTAAATTTTTATTTATTAATTTACTTTTTATCGACATATATCAGAAACGTTATTTTAAATATGTCTCTACATGAAGGCATTCAAAGTTATTCCAGCGTGAAGTAATCCTTTGACATCGGACAAATGTGCAAAGACAATCGACCAGCCGGAAGTACCTTTTTTAGTGCAGGCTAATGGGAAGAGAGTGTGTATGTGTACACGTGTGTGCTTCTTCTAGGGCAGCTGAAGTTCTTCAATATTACTTTTAGGCATCATCCACAGTGTAGCTTTGCTGGGAAGAAGACAGTTTGGCCCACTGTTTCAGCTGAGCATGACTCAGCCTCCTGTTGGCTTGAGTGTTAACGTCCTTTTTGACTCAGAGGCCTTCCGCCTCTCACTAGAGGATGTGAGCCAGACCTGCTTTCTTAGGTTTCATCATTGTTAGGAAAATAAATCAGCATTCTAACCATACTGTAGCTACTCCTCAGACACTTCACCTCACTTAGTAATCCAAATGGGGTTAACTCATTATTTGTCAATTTTATATTAGTACCAGAAAATCTGGTACTGAGAGGAGAGATAAAGAAGTAGTTTTAGGGGCTTAGAAATTAATTATTATTCTAGTTTATGAGCCATTGTTTCAACATATCTTATCATTGAGTGTGACTTTCTACCATTCCCATTGTCTTTCCAGAGCTGCTTCTCCACAGATTAGTGTCGGTTACCCTGCTCAGCCCTCACAGCGCATAGTACTTCCTTTATAGAACACTTCCCACCCTGTATTGTAATTGTGTGTCCGTCTGTCTCCCCTACGTACTGCAAGTTCTGTGGAAAGGTCTGGGTCAGTTTTGCACTGGATGGCCCTGGATGCAGAGTGAAGTCGGTGTTTCCGAACTCGCTGGCTGCAGCAAAGTTCCCAGCCGCGCCCTCCCCTGGCCTGAGGCAGAGCGGCTGGCAGAGGTGACGCAGGACCGCCGTCGGAGTGGCGATCGGACTTAACTTTGCTCCCCTTGAATAACCAGCTTTTAGTATAATGACTAGCTCATGGTAGATATTTCTTTTTAAAAATGTTTTGAAAATAAATGAATGAATTAGAGCATGAAAATCTAAATGAAGTTACAGAGAGAAAGAGTTTTTTCTTTCATTCAATCATTTATTTAGTTACTACATTAAATACACTATGTTTATGCCTAAGGGGAAAGGTAGTAAATTAGGTACAGGGAAACAATGACTTAATAAACACTCCTACTCTCACATAAGGCAGAAGGGGGCAAGCGGTGAGGGCACAGGCTCAGGAACAAGAGGGAGCATTTTACATTCCAGGAACTACAGGAGCACAGAGGGCCAGGTGGGAGTGGCCGCAGCAGAGGCCCCGGAAGGAGGGAGGGTCCAGATCTCAGTGGTCTGGGCGTCAGGCGGAGAGTGGAGCTTCATCCGAAAATGACTGACGGGCTGTAAGAGTAGGGTGACATCATCCCGTTTATTTTAGGAAGCCACTTCAGCTGGAAAATGGATTAGAGGAGATGAAAGGGAAAACCTGGGATGAGAGGGGAGGATGGTTTGGCCTCAGGTGGTGGTGGTGGGGATGCACCTGTCATGAGAGCACTGAGGCAGTTTGGGGGTGGGTGGGGTCTGGAGAAGTATCTAGTCGGCTCAAGGTTCCAAGCAGCTTGGGACAGAAACAACCAAATGCAGAAGTACAAGGAGAATAATTTTATTGCACATCAGCCATTACTTTTTGTCTTCAGGGCTTTGCTGAAGGCTGTTGACAGGTGTTGGTTGGATTGGCACGGGTGCGAGTGCAGAGACCCTGGAGGATCTGGTCTGAAACCTTCCCCCTGTGAGACCAGCTAGTGGAAAGGAGAGGGACTAGAGGCAAGAGAGAGCGCTGAACTACCGATGGATTCTGTGTTGTACATAAAGATGCAGCTAAAGATAGTCTTCCCCTGGAATGAGCCGTCAGCAAAAACTAAGACTCGATCAAGGCACTCCCACCCGGTAGTGTGTTCCAGAATTTTAGGGTGAGGACATTTGTAATTTGCAAATGTATGTTCAATATTACAATAATTTTATCTTTGGAAGGCAAGCAAACAAAAAGAATCTCTGTTGTCTTATACTAAAAACTAAAGGAAACAAAGCAGACAGAGTCGTCCGGGCTGTGGGATGTGCAAACATTCTGTGTGTGTGTGTGTCAGGGGCTTGGGGGAAAACGAGAATCTGCCCCAGGGGTTGGGGAGGACTGGCAGAGATACTCATGCTTATCCAAGCAATCCACAAAGTGTGAGAAATAGTAAAATGAAGTCACATAAGCATTTTAAGTTATAAAGACCAAGAATTTATTTGATTATGTTTTTTGCATTTGTTAAAATATAACATAAGCATCACATTTGACATCTATTACTCCAGACTCTGTAGTAGTCACTGGGGTCTAGAGACTAAGAAGACATCACCCTTGTCTGCAGGAGCACAGGATCAGTAGAGAGGACAGGCACAGGGATTATTAATATCCTAACATTATAAGCACCATAACAGAAATGTTTACAAAGAACACAGGGAGAAGAAGGATGAATTTATAGTTGTTTATATAGTTCTTTATAGTTGACAGCATGAATCGACATTGGGGAACATGTATAACCCTGTATAATAATAGCACAAAAAATTGTATAAAATCTACAACAGCCACAGCCTTCTGGGAGAAGCATCATCCCCATGAGAGGACATGACTGAGGTCTACAGGGTGAGATGACTTGGCTGAGCTGCGAGTACTGGATGACCAACGTCATCAACCCCAGATCAAAGGGGACTCCAAGTCTGGCTAGCCTCTTCTGTGACCTGACACTAAATGTGCCTTTAAAAAAAAATTAAGATGTCAATTTAGGTTTCATTTTATAGGCCAAACCTAATTAACATTTTCAGGAATTGAAGCCTGTATGGAATTTGTTCTTAAGCTCCAAAATATGTTCTCCTGACAATCCATCTCCTACTTTGCAGGTTTACCTTACAGATTTGCTGTGATTTAGAAGAAACCAGGCAGACCTGGTTCAAATCTGGCTCAGGACCCACTGCACTATGCCATTTTAGGCAAACATCAGAATACTTCTGTTCTCAGTTCCCTGTGTGGCACACTGGAGCAATAAGATTAAATAACGAGCTGTAAGTAAGGGTACGTGGCCCCGAGTAGGAGCTCTGGCTCTACCTCTGCCACCACATCATCTGAGGTACCATCGCTCACCTGGATTATCGAATACATTTTTCTTCCTTCGTTCTTGACCACTCCAATCTGCCCATTTCTGCACAGGGAGCAAAGGTGGTTGCAGCACTACTGTTGAAAGATGAGAATCCTCAATATAATTTATAATTTTTCTTTCCAAACTGTAGGCCGTGAGTCACTAGTGGGTCACAGAAACAGTTTTGTGGGTCACCAGTGGCATTTTTAAAAAGTGGTATAAAATAGAATAAAACAGAAATATCAGGTTGCACTGCCAATCATGAGCATAAGTATTAATTTACATGAAACTTGTTCTCTCATTGTGGGTCCTGTCAAAAATATTTGAAGGCCTCTGGCCTATGATATCCTGAATGATAGGACGTTGCCTTCTTCTTTAGCCTCATTTCTCATAATCTCCTCTTAGTTCTCTGCTCTAGGCCCACCCCAGCCTTCCTTAAATTCCCCCAGCACATGCTGTTTTACTCTTTGCCCAGTTAATGTCATGTACTCAGTCTCAGCTCAGACTTCAATTCTTCAGGCTATATACTCTGAGTCCCTGTGGGGATCAGGTTCTCAGAGATCCATGACCAGTGTTTAATTATTCCTTTAATAGCATGATTTTGTGATTAATGCAAGCTTTCCCACTAGGCTGTCATCCTCAAGACCGGAGGAACCCTGTCCTACTTGAATACCTGGCCGGGGCCAGCACATAAACACTCCGTGGGATGAGTCAAGCAATGTATCAACCAACCTACCAGCCCATGATGCCGACTAGTCTCCTTGTTGCCTTGGTATTGGTTTTGTTTCTAAGCCTTGCACCAGTTAAACCACATGGGCTTCGCTGTCTGCCTAGGTTAGGAACTTCCTATAACGAGATTCCTTAACTTGGGTCTCCCGGCTGCTAATGTGCTAAGAATACGTCCAAGATGTGTTCCTGTGCAGGCAGTTGAGCATTTCGTTGGTAGGGAGAGACTAACATTCATCGGATTTTAGAGGGGGTCTCTGTTCACCTGCTTCAGAGGCACAGTTATCTGAGCATCTCCTACCGCCCCTTTGCATCCCCATGGCTCCCTGCGGCGCGATGGCTCCAGAGGCTTCTGGGTGCCCGGCCCAGGGGACCATCCTTTCCCAGCCCCTCCGATTAGGCTGACCCGCTCAGATCTTCCGCTCTTCAAGCGCGCGTTCCCGCAGACGGCGAAGACGAGGCGGAGCGGCGGCAGGTGCCCTGCGTCTCTGAGCCCGGGTGCAGCCCCGGGGGCGCTGTCCGCAGCCCGGAGCTCCGGCCGTCGGCCTCCGCAGCCACCATCTTCGGGGAGGGAGGGTGCGAGGGAGGCGCGGCCTTGGGACGCGGACACGCCCCCGCCGCCGGGGCCGCCCCGCCGGCCCCGCCGCGCGTTAGCCCAGCCGCACCCGGGTTCCGACTTCCCCTCCAGCCCGGCTCGCGGCCTCGCGCTCCCCACCCGGCCCACAGAGCCCGCGCCGCGGCCGCCCAGCGCTTGCAGAGGCCGACATGGGCCCCGCGCGCTGGCTCGCGCTGGGCAGCCTCCTCGCCCTGGGTGCGCTGCTGGAAGGCCGGCTCGTGGACGAGGAGGACGCCGGCTTTGGCGAATGTGACCAATTCTTCTACGCCCAGACCCCGCCAGCGGGGCTGGCGGCCGAGGGCCACGTGAAGATCTGTCAGCGCTCCGAGGGCACCGAGCACTTCGCCACCCTGTACAGCACCCGGGACCGCATCCCCGTGTACTCGGCGTTCCGCGCCCCGCGCTCCATGCCCGCCGACGCGGAGCAGCGCTGGTTGGTGGAGCCGCAGGTAAGCGAGGTGTTTCCCCAGCCCTGGCGCTTGGCTGGCCTCCAGGGGCACCTTGCAGCCACCGTGAGGATGGGGGAAAGCAGCCCCCACGCCCTCCGTGTGCCAGGGTCAGGAAACCCGGGTTTCGGATCCACTCCATTGCTCACCGGTAGTTATACAGCCTAACTAGCCCCTGTCGATGCCACCGCAGGAGCTCGGCGATCTTTTAGACTTCGCTTAAGCCGCAGAGGCCGGGGGTTTCCCAGTCGGAGGTGGTTCTGTCTACATTTCGGTGCAGACATCTGTAGTATCTCATTCATTTCTCGAATAGCGAGCAGAGTGAGACCAAGACCCCTGAGACCTTTCAGATTAGCAAGAAGCCTGGGCTGGGAGCTCACAGGCCTTGGCGCAGGTCATTGCCACACTTTTTAGGGAGTGGATGGGCATTTTCATGCCCATTTTGTAAAAGAGGGAGATCAAGGCTCGGGAAGAAGAGACTTGCAGAAGGGAAGACCACCCCGTTGGTAAGCTAGGCCAGGGCTTTTGGGTAGAAGTTCACTGCCCTTTCTATTAGGGAAAAGCTTCCCATTCTGCAGAGGCTGCCTGAGCCTGAAAACCCTTCCCTTACTCACACAGCATCAAGTAAATTCTCTCTGAAGTTGTGTTGAGTTAGGGCAATGCAATAAAGGTATAGATTTTAAGAAAGGCAATGGGATAGTTATAAATAACATGGAAACATTGACTGCCTGCAATTAGTGCAAAGAACAAACCAGTTTTTCCTGACTCGTTATATCTGTATTATCCGACCGCTTGGAAATCATGTCAGTCACCTCAGGGTGTTCTGTCATATCTGGTGAGGGTGACCAAATGTTACTTAACACATGCTGCCCCACCTTAGCTCAAGCCAGACTCCTCTGTAGAATGCCTAGCCAGTTCTCCGCCTCTCAGCAGCCTCCCACCTGTCTCTGCACCTGCTCCAGCTGCCAAAGCCACTCTAGCTGCCGGAGGAGCTGACCCACTCAGCCCGCACATGCATGGTGGCCACAGCTACGCAGGACCATAAGGGTGAACAGGAGACCTGCTTGCAGGTGTTTCATTCAGAACCCTGGAGTGTAATCTCTGTAATGTCATCCAGATACTTCCAGCTCTGAGAGTTCGGCCAAACCTCAAGCAACCTGTACCTCAGTCCCCTTACCTTCTCCATCTCTGTTGCATGTTCTTCACCTGCTGATGTCAGGACCTGTGAGATCAGGCACGTGCAAAAACCTTTGTGAATTGTGCACTCTTCAAACATATATTATCTAAAATTAGTTTGTCCCCAGCTGCAACTCCAGACCTCTCTGTGTTTCCTCTAACTCATTATGCATTGGGATTGTGGGCCTGTGAAGAAAAGAGATGATCTGGTCTTTGCTCCTTGAGGATCCCATGCACACCTCGGGACGGCAGACCATACATGTGAGGAAAACATGGGAATGCATGCTAAACAAATTTCAGTTAAATTCAGAACACAATTAGTAATCACCTACTGTGTGCCAGGCACTTAGAGTACCAGCAGAATAGATTGTAGCTCCTGAACTCAAAGGTTTTCTGGTCCTCAGGTGAAGCGCGCTGGGTGGTGAGGCAGCGTAGGTTAGTTCTTCCATAGACTAGCTGTAAACTTGGAGATAATAACAGGGTGGTTCTAAGGATTAAATGAGTTATTGTATACAGTGTTTTCTGAGAGGTGCCTGGCACCTGAGTCCTAGGTTATGATATAAGCAAAACCCCATAATTTAATAAAGGTAAACAAGTCCTATTAGAGTTAATCTGTCTTGGAGGTGATAGGGGAAAGCCTTAGGGGCAGGATGACATTTGTGCTGTGCCTTGGAGGATGAAGAAGAGGTCAGAAGGGGGAGGAGGTGGAGGAGGAAGGCATTCCAAGGGGAGGGAACATCATAAGTGAGAAATGCGGATTCAGGGATTAGTGATTAGTGTGGGGAGTGGTTGGAGTAGCCAAACTGTAAAGTGAGTAGATTCCAGTCTACTCACGTGTTCAGAATGAAGGAGAATGATGGAAGGGAGGGGTCAGGTGTGAAGGAGTAATCAGGGAAGGTTTAGGGAGGCCAGAGTTATTAAAGGAGTTGCAAAGGAGCATCATTCAGCAGAGAGGAAATGGACAGAACCTCACCTAAGCCTGGGCTTCTGGGCATGGGTGTAGGTAATGAGGAATAAGACTAAGGTGATAAAAGTTGCGGGAGGGGAGGGGATTAGATCCAAATGGCAACTTTAAAGGTGAGACAGACAGTGGTTTGGAAAAGGACAGGAGCCAGAGTTCTGAGCTGGGGAGGTCGCAATGGTCACAGACCTACGCTTTCTCGCTTTCTCGTGCAAGGTGGGCTTGGGCCCTCCTGCCCCCTCCCTTCCCCTACAATGTCAGGTGAAGCCAGCCAGGGGCCAGAGACTGTTAGGAGGGAGGGAGGAGAAACTGCAAGATGAGATGCAGGCGGGCTTGGAGCGCACTGCTGCCAACCTGGCCACGCTGCGGCCTGCTCCCCAGGCCTGCCTCGCTGCCAAGGTCTCCACTGCAGAAAGATGCCCAGGGCTCAGTGTACCCTTTTGCCTGCTTCAAAGCCATTTGTAATACTGAGTCACCTTGTACCCACCTCACCTCCTATTGAGGTCAGCATTACAGAGGCTGAGCAGACAGGGGAGGAAGAGGCCGGAGATCGAAGGCGCTTTGGGCTTGCTTTTGGTGATGAGTGGGGCAGGGCTGCACTGGCCCTGGGCTCCCACGGCCCAGCTCAGTAGCTTTCATGGCTGTCCTGCAGTTTCCCTTGAAAAAAAGAACTCTTAAGTGGAAGAATATAGAAACTGAGTCACTCTGGTGCTTAAAACCTTTAAAGTGTTGGCGTCCCCACACCTACAGGACAAAGTTCATCCTGTAGAATACAGTTTACAAGGCCTCCGTGCCCGGGTGCCAGCCCCATTCTCACAGGTTAGGGTCCAGCATTCTCCAGCTGCCTTGAGTGCCTCTCATAAACCATTCTGTTTGTGCCAGTTGTTTCTTTGCTCATGTTGATTTGTTGCCCCAAATGCCCTTTCTACACTGCCCCCACCCCTCTCCTCACTTCTTCCTCCCCTGCACCATCCTTTAAAACTGCCAACGTGTCACCTCTTCCAGAAAGAATTGCCCACCTGAGTTAGGTTCACTTCTCAGTGATCCTATAATTTCTCTATTTTTGTACTTACCACATTGCTTTATAATTACCTGCATATGTGTCTGTCTCCTCTACGTGAGTCCCTGAGGACTGAGTCTTACTCATGTGTATATTCCAAGTGCCTAGGATATAGAAAACACTCAGTAAGTACTGAATAACATAATTTGATGTTAGGGCCAATCAGGCAGCGGGTGAGATGTTCAGCTAGAGTTTTCTCAGCGGGAAGCTCTCTGCTGCAGAAGCTAGTCTGGGAGCTGGCCAGCAGTCACTGCTACAGACATATTTCATGTGCAGAGCTGGCCTTCCTCTAAGTCTGCCCCCAGATGATCTGGATCTCTGTTCTGTATAACAACGCTGTAGTGTCAGCCACAGGACCCCATGACTGCCAATGATGGAGGAATTTAAATAGGATCTTCTGAGGAACAGAATGAGAACTTTAAAAGGAAGCAGAGAGGCCTGGCCAGGTAGCTCCATTGGCTAAAGCGTTGTTCCAGTACACCAAAGTTGTGGGTCTGATCCCTGGTCAGGACACACAGAAGGGTCAACCAGTAAATGCGTAAATAAGTGGAACAACAAATCTGTGTCTCTCTCTTTCTCTCTCCCTGCCTCTCTTGCCAAAATCAATTAAAAAATAAATAAAGGAAACAGGAAAAATAGAACTGTCTTACGTTCTATGTGAAATGTGGTCTGTTTTAAGTTGGGTGGGGAGAGAAGGCAAATGTGGGGGTGGGGGGAGAGTGAGAGAGAGGGAGGGAGACAAGAGATGAGAAAAATGTGTTCCCTCTAGCATCATGGCAGTGGCGTGGAGGTTTCCAGTCAAGACTCAGAGACCTGAGAATTGGGTTCTAGTTTAGCACTGGGAGCTTCAAATCATTTAGTTTCTCAACTCCTTTCCATTTAAGGAAGAATTTGTGGATGAGGTACCAGTGATGCCTTTCCGAAGTACACTGTCAATTCATGCTGGAGCCAACGTATAAGATCTGTCACTCTATAAACATGAATACTGGGAGGATCTGGTTTTATATTCAGCTCATACTTTTTTAATCTTGCAAAAACACTGTAAGATGTCATTCTCTTCATTGTAGAGATGAGGAAACTGGCTCAGTTGATGGGCCCAACGTCACACAGCTTGAATCTGAACTCATGACTCTCTGCTCCTAGTCCATGCTCTTTTCAGACACCATGAAGATTCTTTGATCTCACAGGAGATCCACTACATTAATGGTGGTAGGAAATTAATTCTCATCTTTTATATGGGAATCTTAATTTCTACTCCATTTCTCTTTCTTAACACATGTATTATTGGGTTAGCCAAAAAGGTTGTTTTTTCCCCCCCATAAGATGGCTCTAGTAGTGCTTAGTTTTCTTTAATTTCATTCAAAACAATTTTTATATTGTATTGTGACAGCTGTCATACCAGCATGCATTTAAAAAATCTTATCAAAATTGATGAATTATTGTATAGCCATTTTAGTATTGGAGATGGAAGAAAATAGGAACATTTTTGTCATATTATGCTTTATTATTTCAAGAGAGGTAAAAACACAACTGAAATGCAAAAAAAGATTTGTGGTGTATGGAGAAGGTGTTGTGACTGATTGAATGTATCCAAAGTGGTTTGAGAAGTTTCGTGCTGGAGATTTCTCACTCGACAATGATGCTCCACCGTTGGGTAGACCAGTTGAAGTTGACCGTGATCAAAATGAGACATTAATTGAGAACAATCAAAGTTATACCACATAGGAGATAGCAAACATACTCAAAATATCCAAATCAATAAAGTTATTGGTGAAAATGAAAAAATGTGTCTTTTATTTTACAGAA